TGTTTGGGAAAATTACGGGACCTTTATGTGGCTCAATTCCCTTACTGTAAAAAAAGGGACTTGGTTATTTGACTTCTAAGCTCCCTTCTTGATGTAGAAATCTGCCATATGTATCTAAAACTGAAGGCCTCTTCTTTCTTGGCAAGTAGTTTCCCTTTCTATGTATCCCATTATTATTTTTGTATACCACTGCCCTTCCAGGCTTTGACGCAAAAAATCTTAGAGTTATGTTTGTTAAACCATTTACTTTAACTCTTGCATACAACTTCCAGCCAATCCAGCAGTTCTTCCTTCATAGTTGAAGTGAGAGTAGAATGCATATGACCAAAGAGGCCATTTTGGAGTCTGAACACTGGATTCTGCCTCGGCCATATTTTAGTTATAGGATCTTAAGGAAATTACTTGACCTCAGTGAACCATAGTTTTTTTTTTTTTTTTTCTCCAGTGTTGTTGTAAGGATTAAATGAGTTAGTAAGTACCCAATAAGGGATAGCTACTGTTATTATTTGTATGTGGCAATGCAATGGATTAGATCATTTTTAAAAATTGAAGTATGTTTAAATGAAATACAATATTATATTAGTTTTAAGTATACAGCACAGTGATTTGACAGTTACACACATTATTAAATCCTCACCCCCAATAGTGCAGTCACTATCTGTCACCATAGAAAGATGTTACAGAACCATTGACTATATTCTCCATGCTGCATTTCCATCCCCATGACCACCTTATATTATGATTGAGATTTTTTTGCCTTGTTATCCCCCTCACTCAACCCACCCACTCCAACCCCTCCCCCATGGTAACCACTAGTCACTTCTCAGTGTTTGGGTCTACTGCTGTTTTGTTCATTTTGTTATGCTTTTTGTTTTTAGATTCTGAATACGTGACATCATATGGTATTTTTCTTTCTCTGCCTGACTTATTTCACTTAGCATATTCCTCTGGGTCCATCCATGTTGCAATGGATTGGATCTGAAAGTCAGCTGTGCCTTCAGAAAAAATATTCAAGAATATTGGGGCACAGACTGAATAGCTCTTTCTGGATGGGTCTTTCCAGGGGCTGGTACATGCCCTTCTCATTCTTAACAGGATTTCTAGGATTAAGGAAATTGTCTTCAAATCCGAAAATGCAACCCCATAATGCAAACCTGTGTAAGTGAAGATATTCACAATGGAGAGTATTTCAAAGGGGCCCAAGGTAAATTTAAGTTTGTCTGAAAGAATGAATGATTATCTCTGATGCTCACCATTCTGGTGAACTCTTGCCACTGCTCTCTTACTGAAAGATAGTTTTTATTGGTTTGCAGCTAGGTGGTTCAGAGATTTTTCTACCCAATTTCCTACCTTGGCTGAAAATGATTTTTTTTTTTCATTCAGAGAACATTTATTGAGCACCTAACTGGATAGCACTTTACACTTATATATCTTTTTTTAAATTAAGCTATCATTGATATATAATCTTATAAAGGTTTCACATGAGCAACATTGTGGTTTCAACATTCACCCATATTATCAAGCCCTCCCACACCCCATTGCAATCACTGTCCATCAGCATAGTAAGATTCCTTAGAGTCATGATGAAAGTGATGGTTTTAATCATTATTCATTACTTGTAGCAAAAAGAAAAAAATTGGAATCAAACAATACAGATTTGAATCCCAGCTCTGCTACTCTAAAGCTAAGAGATCATTGTGAAGTTATTTAACATTTCTGAATCTCAGTTTCTTCATCATAAAGAGATAGTAAAAACAGTTGGGTTAACTGATTGTGCAGATTAAGTGAGATACATGTTTCCCATACACAGATGTTTTAAAATATTCCTTCCGAGTCTGATTTTTAACCTTAGCCTAGAATTTGTAGCTTCCTGTTGTATATTACTAGGATTTTTAAAGAAAGGGCTGGCATGTATATCTCAACATGTGTAAAACAAAACTCATCATTTTCCCTCTTCTTCCTTTATTGACTCTTTCTGTTAATGGCATCAACAATCTTCAAATCATTCAAGTCTGATGGTGCCAGCTTTGATTCCTTCTCTATCCCTATGTACATTTTATTCTAAGAACTGTCAATTGTCTCTTCCCACCTTTCTACTCCAACCAGTCCTAATGTAAACCTTGATTACCTTTCACTTAGACAATTTTAGGATCTTCTTGATAAGTAAATTAGATTCCAATATTTTCTCCTCTTCAAAAATTATGTCTACTATTGTAGAATCAGCTTTTAAAGGATGGTTCTCATTATGTTTATTTTCTTTTTTAGAANTGCTATAACGCTCATATGTGTGCAAAGGAGTAAGCACAGTAAGAGTAGACCTCATCTCTGCTCATTCACAGGCTAATTCTTTCCATTATTGGAATATGGCCCAGACTTCTTAGCATGGTGTTCAACGCTTTTCCCAGTCAGGCCCCTTACTGTCTTTGCCTACCTTATCTTCAACTTTTCTTACACCTAGAATCTAACTGCCTAAGGTATCCTACGCTACTTCAACTCCCTGTGTAATGCTGTTCGCCCTACCTGAGATGCACTTTCCTCGTGCCTTCATTTGCTGAAATTCTGCCTGGTCTATAGGTCCCAAGTCAGTCCAATGTCTCTTGCCTTTCCTCCCACGAAGCTGAAAAAGCAGATGCTGTACTCCTAGACCATGCATTGCCTCTAACCACATTCTGCCTTGTGCTATAATCATTTGTGTACACATTGGCAAGCCCAGTAGACTATGTGCACTATGTGGGCAGGGCCCTCTCCCTACACCTTGTAGAAAAAGGTTACTCAGTAACCTGGTATTAGAGTCTATCAAAAATCATGTATTGATTCTCACCTTTATCTGTTTCATAGGGTGCTAATCACATTAAGAAATAATAGTATACTTCTGTAAAGAGAGGTGTGTTCAGGATCTGAGCCTACTCATTCCTTGAGTATAAAGTTTGTTTATCCTACCTTTATACCAAGACAGATGTTCTGACTTTTCCTGGCTTTCTGGCTGAGAGTAATCAAAACCATGGAATTGGAGTTGGGAATTAAACCGCTTTTTTCTTAATCACAGTTAGCCCCTCTAATAATTAATGCTTTTCCTGTTTTATGAACAAATTTGAGAACATGTGTTCTGTATTTTTTTCTTTTATCCAGGATTACTGTAGAAGAACTGACAATATTTATATCCATATCTACATTGGAAGCATAATTGTACCTAATAATGTCTTAAAGTATTGGTGTCCCTATACTTGGCCTACAGGGTCATTGTTGTGGTTTTACATAATTAAGTTTAGCTGATTATTACTTCTGCATCTCTTCCTTGTTAAAGAAAGAGCTGACAGTGTTTAGTGGGCCTGTCATTTGCAAACTAGAAAACAGATAGGCAAATAATTATCATATATTATTTGATACATTCAAGTTTACTTCAAACAACATATATAGAATTAAGGTTATTTTATCCAGGAAGAAAGATACTATAAAAAAAAAACATTTATTTCTTACTTATTCTGTCAGGGTTTTTTCTGCTTTATCTTTATTCCTCATAAGGATACTATAAAGTAAGTACTAATATTACAGATGAGAAATCTAAGTTTTAGGGACTGACGCACAGCTTTACATGGTGGGGCCAACACTCCCACTTAGATGCATGTCTCTAGTGCCAGAGCGCCTTTCCATAAGAGGGTTCTATGTTGCCTTCCAACATGGCGATTCAAACAAACAAGTAAATGGAAACAACAAAACCAGCTTTGTTTTCAGACAAGGCTTTAGCTGGAAGAACAGGTACTACATGTGGAAAAGTAGTGTGATCTTGTAAGGTGGCTTATCACTTACTTTACATCACAGGACTTTGAGTGTTGACACAGTAGCCCATGTTGCTAGTTAAACACACTGTATGGTCCATTGTTGCCAACGCCGTTCGAAGCAGTACCTGAAGCACCAGACATTCTAGAGATGGGTTATTCTGTGCGGTTGTAAAGGGAGCTGCAAGTCATACTTTCATCTAATTTTTCACTATTCAAATAAGGAAACTGGTGACTCATTTCTAATCTCACCGATTCTGGGCAAAGATTGGAACTCCTTTGGCAATTACTGGGACAAAAACCAAACAATTCAGGTTAATGTATAGAGACTAGGTGGTATCAAGGGCACAGCTCTATGTATTCTTTGAATTCTTTTTCTTTGAAGGGATTTTAGAAAAGAATTGAAGTACAGAGGTTTTATCCTCTGAATTTAAAGTGTATTATACTTCCCTCAATTGTTAATAGGCTTTAAAATAATAAGAATTATAACAAAAGCCAATACTAATATATTTTACTTAAAATGCTCTTAACACTACTATAACCTACAACCTACCTAGTATTTTAGATATATTTTCTTCTTAAATCCACATCAAAACTCCTGTAAAGGTAGGTATTAATCTTCATTTTTCAGCTGAAGAAACTAAAACTGAAAAGATTACATAATTTATTCAAGGTAACAAAGTTATGATTTCAATTGAAGTCTGTCTCTCCTTACAGCCCTCGATCTTAAATATTACACACATCGTGTCCCCAGCTCTCTCCCAACACTAAGTGGTCAGTGCTGCAGAGTTTAGGGAGAGAGGGCAGCCAAAAGACACTTGGATGTAGGTAGATCCTAATTTGGACCTGACTCTACAGAGGTGCTGATTGTACTTCCCCTGGGATGTAACTCAGAAGAGGGAACACTGCACTCCAAATGTGATTTTGGAGCAGACTTAAGTTCAGGGAAAGGCCAGTTAATGTTTGCACAGTGGAGTCAGTCATAAAGCGATGGAACTGGAAGGGACCTTAGAGATCATCTGGTCTAATCTCGTTTTATAGGAAGCTACAACCCAAAGATATTGAATCATTTGACCAAGGTACGGTTTTTGGGAAAACGGTAGAGGAATGTGGTCTGCTGATCTAGGACTCTGTGCTCTTTCACTTACACTACATGGCTGCTGGTGCTTGGATGCTGGAGAATCCACTTCTGTGTCTAATATTGTGACCTTCTTTATTGCATAGGTTTTTCAGTATCTGTAGACAAGATGGAATCAACTCCATTTAATAGACGGCAATGGACTTCACTGTCATTGAGGGTAACGGCCAAAGAACTTTCTCTTGTCAACAAGAACAAGTCATCTGCTATTGTAGAAATATTCTCCAAGTAAGTGCTGATCCTGGTCCAAAAAGACCATCGGTCTTGAGCAAACACTACCACCTGTCAGGGAAATCTGTAAAGGAAGTAAATGGTATAAAATGGCTTTATTGAGCATCTTCTGGATTTTAAGAACCATCAAGGCTCTATGGAGGATGATAATAATCAGGAGACATAGTCTCTGTACTTGAATTTTTGTTTTAGCTCGGGGAAGAAAAAGAAAACATAAAGATAATTACAAACACATAATTGTTAAACAGAATGTCAATAAATCCAAAATGAATAAGAATAAGGACTAGAAACAGAATAAGAGAGAGTGACCATCATGGGCAGAAGCTAGTCAGAAAGACTTTCTGGTGGAGATGAGTTTTGTGGCATATTTTTATCTTGCAGAAGAGAGTGTCAGGTGTACTTTATACCTGCATTGTCCATTATGGTAGCCACTACATATCTGGTTACTTGAGTTTAAGTTAATTAAAATTAAATAAGATTTAAAATTCAGTTCATTAGCTGCACTAACACATTTCAAGTATCCAATAGCAACATATAACTGGTAGTTATCATACGGGATATCACAGAAACATTTCATCATTGCATAAAGTTCTGTTGAACAGTGTAAACTACGTAGATAAACTATAGCCTACTGGCTGTCTGTTTTAGTAATTAAAGGTTTATCAGAACACAACCATGTCCATTTGGGTACTGTCTGTGGCTGCTTTCAACAGCAAAGTTGCAGCAGAGACCATATGACCCTCAAAGTCTAATTATTTACTCTCTGGTCCCTTAAGAAAAGGTCTGACTCCTGCTCTGGACCATGAGTTCTTTGATAATGAGAGTCCCTTTCTTGCTTATTCTGTATGCCTAATAAGTAGCACGGTGACTGGAACATAGTAGGTGCTCAACAAACATTGGAGGATGGCATATGCAAATAATATACCAGGGATGGCAAACACATGGACTTCATTCAAATAGAGATTCCATGTGAGGAGGAGCTTATGGCAAGTGGTAGGTCTAGCTCACTAGTAAAATTTGTTAATAGGAAACTACGACACATTTAAGAGAAGAAAGGTGGTCAAGATTTGAACAAAGTGATTCTGGGAGCTGTATCTAGGATGTAGCCAAATACTGATAGGAGGTTTCTGTAATCTGTAACATCAGGTTTACTTCAATAACAAACCCATCAAGCATCTGCTCTGTGAAAAACACTGCCCTTCCAAACTGTTGACTTAGGTTATCACTTGAAGGAGAGTGGAGGTTGGGTGAGACCATAGAGCTCTTTTACCTTCTACAGTATGCATTTTATATTGCTGTAATTTTATGTTAAATATGTATTAGTCTTATTTTAAAAAAAGAAAATATATAAAATATTTCATTAAAAAAGAGATTGAGATCTGGAAAGCTATTAAGACTTAATTCTGACCTCAGGTAACTTAATAGTATAGGTTAGTATGGTTTATATAGTCAGGGAAGTCCCCAGACTCCCTTCATCTTAAAAAATTACATGGGGTACCTGTTAATAGTATGGCATTCCAGTTATCTGTTGCTGCATTAAAAAAAAAAAACCCTCCAACAGTGTAGTAATGGCTTGAAGTAGCGACATTTCTTTTTCTCCTGAGTCTCCAGTTTGGGCAGGGCTTGCCTCTGCTCCTCTCAGGTCAGCCAGGATGGTTCAAAGACTGGGGGCCATATCATTTAAAGGCTCACTCCTTCCCAAGACAGGTGGGATCTCAGCTGGGGCACTGGTTGGAACACTTCCACGTGGCTTTTCTATGTGGCTGCTCGGCTTACTCGGCTGGGTTCCCTGGACAAACATCCAGAGACGGAGGGAGGGAGCAATGGAACAAAGTGGGACGGCAGTCAGAGTCGGGACGTGCTGCCTCTTGTGACCTAGCCTCAGAAGCTATACCGTTTCACTTTTGCCACATTCTCTTCATTAGAAGCCTGTCACTAAGGCTGACTCATATTCAGAGGGAGGGGAATTTGACTTTACTTTCTGCTAGGAGGAATGTCAAAGATTATTTTGGATGTTTTAAAAACATCCTATATGGCTTTCCAGGCTCCTCCCCTGAAGATTCTGATTCCAAATGTCTGGGAGGGGGCCCGGTAGATTGTATTTTTAACAAGTATCCCAGGTTTAGGGAAGTTAAGGAGGCTCTGGAAGTAGAAGAGATGAACTTGTGAACTTAAACATAAAGCAGAATGAATAAGGTTTCTTATAAGTTTAAGCATAGGATTGTGGAAACTGAACATGAATAAAGGCACTAGGAAAGTAAGCAGTCTAGCATGGAGAAATGCAAAGGGGAGAAGGGACTGGTACAGTTCATTAGGGCCAGATGATGGAAGGCCTCGAATGCCATGCTAAGTTTAAGATTTTAGTTAGATAAACAATGGAAACAATTGAAGGTTTTCTCGCCGGGAGAATGACATGATTAGACTTGCATTTTAGAAAGGTGCTTCTGGCAACAGTGTAAAACGTATACTGAGATTGATAGCATGGAGACATTAAGGCTCTCTGGGAACCCAAGTGAAAGCTATTAAGGGTGGAGGGCAGCAGGATGGAAAGAAAGGGAAGGATTTGAGACAGTGTTGAGATGTGATTAATGGGACTTGGAAACTCCCTGTTCTGCAGAGAAACTGCTCCACATTCTTACCCTTTTCACCCTCCCTAGCCCCACCTCTCTTTAAATGAAACTTGGCTTTCCCTCCACTTGCATTCTATCCCTGAGTAGTGGCTGCCTGCTCTTTCTGCACATGCTTCCCTGAAATACTCTGGGCCTAGGAGTCAGGACTGCTACTTTCCTACATCTCCACTGCTGTTGCTCATCCATTGTTTTTCATGCCTGTTGTGAAATTCTAAACCAGTGCTTGGAGGCTCCCTTCTAACTGTACTATATTCTTATCCTCCCCTTCATTGCAGTGGTGTGCCAACCTCCAGGCCTTCACTGGGGACACTAGCTGCCAGCTTGATTCTCAGTATTTCTCAATGGAGGTGTTCTTGGCATTTTAGATGAGGCAGATCTTCCTTGTGCAGGATATTCACCATGGTGCCCTCCTCCCAATGTTAGTAGCATCCTATGACATTGTGACAACCAAAATAGAAAAAAAGGGGTGGAGGAAAAACCCCAGTAAGATTCCCACACATTTGCAATAGTGCCCCCAGTGAAGGATCACTGGTCCATATAAACGACCTGAACTCTAGACTCACAATTTCTTGATCTTCCCTACTTCCTCAACCTGCACATTGTCTCCTGTGCCCCTGCATCCAAACACAACTTTATCATCACCCAGAAGCCATCCCTGAAATGTGTATTTGGAACACCTACTCTTTAATTAGAGCTTCCTATCCTTCCACTGTTCCACTCTCTGTTGTCCACTGACCCTGCTCTTGGGCCAAACGAGGATACCCAGGCTGTGGATGTCAGGCCCCTTCCTGGCTTCACTTTCTTCCCTGCCTAACTCGGTCATTCACTTCAGTGAAACTCTCACCACTTCCTCAGTTCCCTTCCCACCCCATTATTCTTTCATTGCCCAGCTCAGCCAATTCTCAAGATAGAGGATTTGAGTCTTGTAGTAGCACTGATGAAAGTTAGGAAGTTGGAAAATGCTGTGCATCTTAGGGGGCTCCTTAATTTTGCAGAAAGTGCAAATCTTCTAACATTATAGGGTGACCGTCTTTTATCCTTGAAAGTTATAAGGGCAAATGACAATTATGCAAAACTGTAAATCCTAAATCCATTAATCAGAATCAGTGTGCCAGACACTACGCTAGACTCTTGATAGAAATAGATACTATTTTTAATGAACAAAAACTTTAGGAGGGAGGGAGATTATCCTATTTTATAGTTGAGAACACTGAGATGTGGAGAGAATAACCTGCCTAATTTAATATGTTTATTTCTGTCCAGTATTTTATTTTGGTGCATATATTCTAACATATTGAACTGTTGCTAAAGGATGAATAGAATTTTATTTGGTAGGCCGGGAAGGGGAACAACAGGAGGTGAGGCACAGAAGTAGGACAGGAGTGATGTGCACTTAGGACAGTGAAAATCAGAGAACCAGCCTGGATTTCTTCTGTGGATTTTGTAGTCAGTGGAGACATTGCTGATATGCTTAAAGCTTTTAGGGTACACTCACTGTAGATTCCCAAAGCAGATTGCAGGACTGTATTCCACAAAGCATTTGCTAATTGCTACTTGCATCAACTAGTGACCCAGATTTTCAATTCGAAACCTTCCCTATTATGGGGTTCAGAATTAATAAGTTCTATACAAGCCTAGTTAAGAGACTGTAGGAAACCTTAGGAGGTTTCTGATCAGAGACTATTATAAAAGGGGTATTCAGAGGAAGCCTAATCTGGCTGATGTTTATAGAATTATTTGGGCTTTACTTTCTAATTTGTTAACAATAGATTTTACATTTATATATACATAAGAGTTCATTTTTCTAGCATCAGAGCTCTAGCATGAGTACTTTATAGCTATGGACATTTCTTTTACTAAATCTCTATACTATATAAATCATTAAATTTGAGGTAAGGAAGGTCCTATTGATGAATCAATAGGACAGCCAGCCAGCTTTGGTTTCATTCACCATCGACTTCAGCATAACATAATCCTTTGTGTGACTAAAATTTGACTATTTTGGTGGAAGTTAATTTCTTTACAGAAGATTCTTCTTTGACTCATATATTTTTGGAATTAAAGGGAATCTAGGATCCCTTCAACCAATTTTCAAGCTATCTTAATTGAGTTCTGCAGAGGAATCTCTGTGGCCCCCTTTAGGAAAATGGGAACACCTAGGACTGAACCTGAGGCCTTCAGCCCCCAGCCATCCTGCTTTGATCCCTCCCATTATGTTAGATTCTAAATAAGATACTATTTGAAAAGAGGATTCTGCAGTGAAGAGTTTAAAACTACGGATCTAGTTAACCTTTGTCCCATTCCACTGACAGATAAGGAACTTGATGTCTGGCAATTCTGACGGAAGTTCACACCCCAAGATGGTGG